AAAAATTTATATGTGACACGGCACCAGAGTTAAGTTAGGGTTTTTCAAAATGCTGACACGCCGAGCTCAAAAGGTTCGCCATCACTGTCATATACTGTGTTTTTGTCGCTCGAATGAATTTTATTATTTCTTCAAGGTTCTTCACATATGTACACCTTAAGAGATATCAAGTAGGTGTAACATGTTCTCAAAAAATTAGGGTTGGCACGCAGAAGAATTTTGAGTCAGAGATTTTGCTAGTTTTGGCACGCACTCACAAAAAGGTTGCCCACCCCTGCTCTATGTCATTTATTTCTTCTCTCATCTTTATTATTTCCTTCTTTCTACTTACTCTGTGCTTTTCTTATTGTTCTCTTTCTAATTCTTTAAGCCGTAATGTTAAATAGGTTATTAATTTTATTAATTTTTCTTGTTTGTTGTTGCTGTTGTTTGTTTTTTAGGGAGGCCTGTAGTGCTATGAACTTCCCTTTCAGGACTGCTTTTGCTGTGTCCCATAGATTTTGGGTTGTTGTGTGTCTATTTTCATAAAATTGATTTATTGATCTCGTTGGTAACCATTAATTGTTCAATAACATCCTATTTATCCTCCATGCATTTTCATGTTTTTGAGTGATTTTACTATAGTTAATTTCTAATTTCATTCCATTGTGATCTGTGGAGATGGTTGATATGATTTCAATCTTCTTCAACTTGTAGAGACTTGTTTTGTGTTCTAATATGTGGTCTATGTTTGAGAATGACCTATGTACCCTCGAGAAGATTGTATATTCTGCAGCTTTGGGGTGAAATGTTTTATAAATATCAATTAAATCCATATGATCCATGATGTCATTTACAGTCTGTTTCTTTGTTAAATTTTTGTCTGGAAGATCTATCCAGTGAAGTCAGTGGGGTGTTAAAATTTCCAACTATGATTATATTGCTGTCCATCTCTCCTGTAAAGTCTTCTAGAAGTATATATATATTTAGGTGCTCCTATATTGGGTGTATATGTGTTTACCAGGGTTATATCTTCCTGTTGGATTGATCCCTTTAGTATTATCTTTATTGTCTCATGTGATGGCCTTCATTTTGAAGTCTATTTTGTCACATATGAGTATTGCTACCCCAGCTTTTTTTTTTCTTTCCAATTGCATGGAAAATTTATTTTCCACCTCTTCACTCTCATTCTGTGTGAGTTTTTTGTTGCTAGGTGGGTCTCTTGTAGACAGCTATAATAGGTTCATGATTTTGTATCCATTCAGCTATCCTATGTCTTTTGATTGGAGCATTTAATCCATTTACATCTAAGGTTATTATTGATAGGTATTTATTTACTGCCATTTTAATTCTTTGTGTCTATGTTTTTTTCTGTTTCTCTATTTCTTCTTCTCATTAGAGCAGTCTCTTTAGCATTTCCTGCTGTGCTGGTTTAGTGTTTAGCAGACTCCTTTAGCATTTTTTTTTTTTTTTGGTCTGGGAAGCCCTTTATTTCACCATCTATTTTGAATGATAGCCTTGCTGGATATAGTAATCCTGGTTACAGAATCTTGCTTTTCATTATCTTGAATACTTCATGCCATTCCCTTCTGGCCTGTAGTTTCTGATGAGAAATCTGCTGAAAGGCTTATGGGAGCCACCTTGTAGGTAACTAACTGCTTTTCTCTTGCTGCCTTTAAGATTTTCTTTGTCTTTAATTTTGGGCATTGGTATTATTATGTGTCTGGGCATGGGCCTATTTGGGTTCTTCTTACTTGGGACTCTCTGTGCCTCCTGAACTTTTGTGACTTATTCCTTCACTAGGTTAGGGAAGTTTTTCTGCCATTATTCCTTCAAACATGTTCTCTATGCGTTGCCCACTTTCTTCCCCTTCTGGTACACCTATTATGCAAACACTGTTACGTTTCATGTTGCCCCATAGCTGCCTTAAGCTCTCCTCCTGTTTTTAAATTGGTTTTGTTTTTGTTTTTGTTTTTGTTTGCTTTTTGGTTCTCTGATTGAGTGATTTTTTTTCAATCCTATCTTGTAATTCACTGATTTGATCCTCAGCTTCTGCTAATCTGGTGTGTATTCCTTCCAATGTGTTCTTTATTAGTGCTATGTCATTCTTCATAGTTACTCTATCTTTTCTCATGCTATTGAGCATCTTTATCATCAATTATTCTGCACTCTATGTCTGATAAATTTCTTATTTTCATTTCATTTAGCTCTTCTTTTGGAGAATTCTCTTGTTCATTCATTTGGGGCTTGGTTTTGTGTCTCCCCATTTTGGTTTCCTATTTGCATTTGTATCTGTGTATTAGGTAGACCTGCCATACCTCCCAATCTCTAGTGCAGGACAGTGTTAGATGCTGTTTATGACTGGCCCTGAGTACCCTGTTTGGAGCTGTCAGCAATCCACAGGTTGTGGCTCCCTCTGCTAGGGCTGGGTGCCTTTGGGAAGGACCAAGATATGCACCAGCATCTGCTTTTCCTAGCCAAAGCTGGGATTAGATCAGGCAAACATTCAAATCCTCCAGAGACTCACCTCTGCCTGCAATCCCATTGACCCCAGACTTCATTAGTCTCAGGCTATTTACCACAGGGTAGAGTGAGAGCTCTTCCAAAAGGGTGGGGCAACTGCCCTCCCCTCAGGCAAAAACCACCTGGATAGCAAAGTTCCAAAGGAGAAAGATTTCCTCCACAGTGTGAAGTTATGACTCAGTACAGGAAATTGGGGTGGTTGCCCTTGAAGCTTCAACCCCAGAGCCCCCAATCCTGGCTTCTGCTCACACAGCTCCAATCCACTCTACCCTACCTCTGCCAAAGCCCAAGGTGAGGGGCTGCACACAAAATTTTGTACGTTGGCTTTTTAAGAGGGTGCCTGTATTTCCAGCAGTCTCTCACTGGCAGACAGCAACCCTGATGCTTTTTACAGCCATATGTTATGTGAGCACCTTTCTCAGTTCTGGTGCTCTGGGCTGGTGAGTCCTTCTTGGGGTTTAAAACCCCAAAGTTCTCAATAGGAACCCCCCACAGCTGAGATATTCTTCTGGAACTTCAGCTGCTGTCTGTGGGAGCCCAGCCAGCCCTCTCATGCCTCTACACTTTCTATCAGTCTCTATGTGGCCTCCACTTTCTTTCCTTGGTTATCAGGATTCTCTCCAGCTAGTCTTCAGGTGTTTTTCTGGGTGGTTCTTCTGTATTTTAGTTGTATTTCCAGTTTGGTCCTAAGAGAGTGTCAGTGTAGCTTCCACATATTGTGCCACCATTTTGGAAATCTGCAAAATGTCATATGGGCTGTAGCACTTGTACCTGTCAAATACTTTCTGGAGGTGGCACACGAACTCCTGGGTCATGATGCTGATCCACTTGGAAGCATCAGTTACTTTCCTCTTCACTCCAGCATCATGGAGATCCCAGGCATCTTGGTAAATCAGTTCATAATCAATGATAGTGCCATCTTCTGCTCTTCTACCCTTTGTGAGGGCAACAATCAGCTTGTGGAAGTCACCAGATGTGTCAGAAATAATGTCTTTCTCCATATCAGTCTTGTACATTTCGTTGTAGACTCTGTTAATTTCCTGCTGCTCCTGGATGGTCCTTGGGCAGATGATCTCAATGAGAGAGTTCTCATCAGTACCTAGCCCCTTCATGGAAGCCTTCAGCTCCTAAGCATCATACTGAGTAGGTTTTTACAAGAGGCCCAAAATGACTGTCTCCAGATGGCTGGACAAGGTGGTCTTGAGTGCTGATGTAAGTTTCCTTTTGGACCTTCTCTGGCAAGCAAAGACAATATCTTGTCTCTGTTCATTGCTGTCAGTCAAAATGTTAACAGTAGTGACCTCACCCATCCCTTTGGTCTTTTTTTTTAATGACAAATTAGTTTTATTATATTACTAGAGACCTGGTGCATGAATTCGTACACCAGTAGGTTCCCTCAGCCTGGCCTGCGGGATCAGGCCAAAACCGTCTCTCTGACATCCCATCCTGCAGGATCAGGCCAAAACCGGCTCTCTGACATCCCACGACAGGTCCCGGATTGGAAGAGGGTGCAGGCCAGGCTGAGGGACCCCACTGGTGCATGATCGGGACTGTGGAGGGATGCGGGAGGTTGGCCTGCTGGGAAAGGACCACAGGAGGGCTCCAGGGTGTGTCTGGCCCATCTTGCTCAGGCCTGATTGGCCAGACCCCAGCAGCAAGCTAAGCTACTGGTCAGAGCATTTGCCCCGTGGTGGTCAGTGCACATCATAGAGAGCGCTTGAGTGGCCTTAGCATATTACGCTTAGACTGGCTGAATGGCCGACCGAATGACCGGACACTTAGCATATTAGGCTTTTATTATATAGGACAATTATTATAAGGTAGTTCTATTCAAAAACTACTTTCAAAACTAAAATGTTTTCCAAAAATAAAAGTAGCATCTACACTAATAAAAGAGAAACATGGTAATTAGCATACGACCGCTACCCTTCCCATTGGCTAATCAGCATATCCTTATGCAAATTAACTGTCAGCCAAGATGGCGGCCGGAAGCCATGCGCTGAAGTGAAAAGGGAAGCTTGCTTGCTCCAGTGATGACAGACTCCAACGTTCCCCGCCTGACTTGCCGGCCTCTCAGCTGCAACTCTAAGCAACTATGTTGCAAATATAGAAGCTAAACAAAACCCCAGAAACCTGCTTTATTCAGCCGGGCTTCAGCCAGCCGGACCGCAACATTGTATCAAATACAGAAGGTAAAGGCCAGAAACCTGCTTTCAGCAGCGAGGCCTCAGAGCTAAAGCTGGCCCA